CCCACAATTCAAAGATCCTTCCTTCTGCATCAAGGTAATTTATATACTTAAATTCCTCTTAATGCTTCCATTAAACCATTATTTTCTTGGTTTCTTGATTATAATTTGCATCTGTGTGCGCGTGTTTTCATCTGGAACTCAGCTTCTTGAATCCATCAAATGATTGCCTCTGCAGCCGTTTGATCTTTTAAGAAGCGGTACAGATTGATTTCAAATCCTGTATTTTCCCTGAACTTTGTAATAATTGGAAGGTAATTATTTTCCAGATTGTTTCGAAAGTTTTCCGGCCCGGAAACTGTTAAAGATGCTCGGAGAATTTGTTACCAGAAGTTTAGTGTAAGTCATATACTTAATCTTTGATCTTTGGCAAATTGATTCTGTGTGTTTTTATCTTTTACTTTTGAAACTTTTCTTTTGAATGAGTTGTTTTTAGGATTTTGACCGAGTAAATATTTGAATTTTATTCTTGGATTGAATAGGTTGGTTCTTGGATACGCTTATCCGGCCTTTCAATGTTTCAAATCTCTAGAAAAGAATAGAGTTGAGATTCAAGAACTCAGGTTTTGGTGCCAATATTGGTAAGTATTTTTCCTTCGAACTTTCGTTTCCAATCGAGCCCCGTTTTTATTGAGAACTGAATTTTGGAATAGTAAATTGATGGAAAACGTGTTATGAAAAAATAAGAAAAAAATTTGAATTTAAGTATAATATTATTTTATTAAAAATGAAAAATGAAGTTGATAATTGTGGGCTCCACAAATTAGAATTTTAAGAAGCTTTGAACCAATCAACACTCTTAATTGACGTTTCTTGAAAGCTAAGGCTTAACATAATATCTTAGGCCAAATATGAAAAGTAAGCAATGATACTTAGAGCCCGTTTGGACAAATCGATTAAATTATAATTAACACAATTTTATTTATTTCATGTGACGTACCATGAAATGATTCACTAATTAATAAATATATCATATCACTATTACTTCAGTTGTGTTATGCAATGATACTCAGAGCCCGTTAGGCTCCATTATTTCATATTATAATGAAATGAATAGTAGTTTTTGGAGATTGTGTGATTAAGAAAGGAAGAATGATTTTTAGGTTTATGTGTAATATTATTTTATTGAAAAATGTCTAATTGATAAAAAGATAGAGAAAAATAAATTATAATTTAATCGATGGCCAAACGGGGCATAATATTTCATTTCTCATTTAGTGACCATACATATATGAAATAGGCTAATATGACAAGCCTACTAGACGGTTTGTATTTAATTAATCAATTTAATTATTACTTTACACGAAAATGACTTCTTCCTGTAGTTGTTTAGTTCTCTATTTTTTTGTGAAAAGAATTGACTTTTTTTGGATTCAAAGACTGAGTCTTAGTCAATAAAAATTATTTAGCTTTTTTTTGTTGTTTATTTAGCAACAAACTGATAAAATGCTGCTTTTGTATATTACAAGTTATGACCAATAGACATACAAAATAATGGTTAAATTAATATCGATTATACGTAAAAACTATGTTAGCTTGCCTCGATTATTTCGAGAATCTTTAGTATGTTGAACTATCATATAGAGCTAAATACGATTATATGAAACATGAATTTAAAGAATCTGTCTCTAGTTTTATCATAAATTTTTAAGAATATCTAAGTGTACAACATTGGTTGACAACAATGGTAAACAACTATATACTGTCAGAATTCTAGTATGTGATGTACAAAACAGTTTTTTTAAATGGATGAATATGATGATGTCAAATAGAATGTTATCAATTAATGTTGTCAACCAATATTGTACATGTAGCATGATTCAGAGATCAATCGTACAAGAATTATTAATCGAGTAGAGACGTTAAAGAGAATCTTATTGAATTTTGTTTGTGATATTTTCAGGATTATTGTTGCGGTGCTGACAATTCTCGAGAGAATTGGCGACACATTTGTTTCATGGTATATACAATGAATTAAAAAAAAAAAATTTCTTTGGCATTTTTTGTTTTTTTTGGTCATATTTTCTAAATTCTATCTCCTTCCTTGCATAGGCTGCCAATGTACGGTGAGATGAAGCTGGCTCTCTTCATCTACTTATGGTATCCTAAAACAATGGTACAAATCTCTCCTTTTTCCTTTATTCTTTTTAAAATGAGCAAAATAAAGTTTTCTTATTTCTATTTTTCTCTGAATATTTGCATAATACAGGGAACGGACTTCGTCTACGACACCCTATTGCGACCTTATGTGACGAAGCACGAGACAGGTATTGATCGGAGTTTAATCGAATTTAGGGAAAGAGCGTGGAATTTAGCCATCTACTATTGGCAGAACTGCACTGAATTGGGGTCGGAAAAAATTCTCCAATTTCTTCAATTTGTGGGTTCGCAATCTGCAAGGATGACACGTTCCAATTCTGAGGTACAAGCACGACCCGGTTCATCTCGTTAATCATACTCTAAATTTGACGAGATTGTAATGTTCAATCCTGTAAAAATACCGCTCTAGATCGTGTTCGATGTGTAAAGTATGTCTTATCTAATAAATTAGCAATCTTTCACATCAAGTTAGTCCGCATGCATAGCACACAATTAACAATTGCTCAATTTGCACTCAATGAAAATGCCTAATCATAACCCTTTTCGAGTCTTTTGGTCCACTGCTTTAAAATCCATCATCATTGAACAAAACGTGGATCACATTCACAGTCAGTTACTAATTTCATTTCCTAATGTCACAATCTATTTCTAACGAATTCTTTCATGAATTTCGTGAAGAACCAGGCCGATCGACGCTCTAATGATGATCCTCAGTCGAGCACAGCGTTTAGCATGTTCAAGAACAAGCGGCAGCCTAAATCGGAACCTATTCAAGTTCAGCTTAACAATCAGGCAGAATCAATCCGAGTTGAGGATATTCTAGTTCCAGATTCGGAAAAATCTCGGATCAAATTTAGACGCTCCAAAGGTAGTAATTAGCTAAATATTGTAAAAAGACAAATAAAAAGTTGTAGAATATATGAAATTGTAGTAACATATTGAATGTAATCGATTTTCTGTGCTTCATTTTCATTTTTTTTTTTTTTTGTTTCTCACCAAATTGAATCGAACCTTCTGTTTGAAACATTCAATTATGCCATTACATCAAAAAAACAAAAAAAAAGTTTGAAAAATCCACAAAGCACGATTCTTACTGTTGTTATCTGGAGCTCCGAATCTGGGTAGTCCTAAGGATCCAATCAAAGACCCGGACAATTTGGCGATTCACGAAGTCAAAGAAGGCGGCTACACACGGCCAGACGCGGTGGAGGAAACCGTTTCCGGCGGAGTCAGGGGAAGTGGACATGGGTTGGAGATAAGCCCAAGCAGCCTGCTTCACGAGGCGATTGCGGATGCAGATACCGGACCCTAATTGAACTTGATGAGGCACGCTGGGCCTCGGGGAGTTAACTGCAACTGAGGGTAAAAGGTCTTTTAGAGAAGTATATCTATGGGAGGCCGGCTTGATTGATAACAGCTCGAGATCATCGGAGGGAAATGACGATGACGATGATGATAATAATGAGGCGGAGGCGGAGTTCGTGATAGTAGTGGTGGAGGAGGAGGAGGAGGAGTTGTGGTGGAGAAGGGTAACATTGGAGGGGATCACCTCAACTGAGGTCGAGATGGAGTTTCGGTGCCGGATAAGAGGGTGGTTTTCACCCGCTGGCCGCGGCAACGGTGTAGATCCGATGTCGGTCATGGCGAGTTGACTGCAAGACAGAGATTGAGAGAGACAGTCCTGTTTTGAGTTTGCTAATTTATATCGTCTTTATTTCTTGAAGACGTCATTTATGGCGCATAAGATTTTTTGTTTTTTTTTTGGAGTAACGCAATTATTGGCGCACGCTGTTGCACTTTCCCCTGCTTATTGGTTAAAATGAGATTTCAATAATGGAATTGAAATTGTTTGTTACAAAATAAACTCAGCCATTAAAATTTAAATTTTTATCAAAGTTAAAGTTAATAATTAATTTTAATCACGTATTTTATGAGATTCACAACTTTTCAATCACATATCTCATCAAAATCTACTAAAAAATTTAATTTTATTTTCTACTAAACATAGGCTCATTATATAGTTTAGGCTTTAAATTTAATTATTTAAATACTATGAACATTATAATTATTGACCTCAAAATTTGGTAGAAAGGAGGATTCAATAGTTTCGATCACTTTCCCGTCCTCTTATGCGCAATAACACCATGTTAGAGGAGAAGGCCGTTGTTATAGGAAAGAGTCCAATGACCTTTTTTGCTCATAGAATAATGGTTGCTTACTTAGCTGGGTACATAACTGACCAAGTATACGCCATGTGAAATAGTGGTCTAACATTAGTCTTTCTAGTCCGAGTCGTACATTTATATATTGGTCGAACTTTCTAAAAATTAGAACAAGGACGAGAAGTTGTGAGATTGCCTTGATTCACGGTTAGAATCTAAAATATAAACCGTCCTTGAATAGACGAGGACTTATTATTTGCCTTTGAAGTATGAGCTCACATCAAGTTTTAGAAATGAATTTTTCCCTTTTTTTTTTAAATATACCTACCCCACTTCCACCACCCCCTACCACTCCGGAGACTATTCCGCCGACCGTTCACCATTTCTCCTGCGACTGTTCTGGCGGCTGCTCCGATTCCGACAACTATTCTGCGCGACTATTTCGGTGACCGTTGCGCCGCCGCTTTATTTCGACGACTGCTCTGATTCCGACAATATAGTCACATATTATTTTTTGATCATATATCATAATGTTTATACGTTACAAATTATTTTACTGTCACAATTCAAAAATTTTATATGTCACAATTTGTTTATCGGTCACAAATCAAAAATTTTGTAAGTCACGGATTATTTCTCCGTCACAAATAAATTTTTTTATAGGTCATAGATTAATTTTTCGGTCACAACTTAATCAATTGTGAGTCACAGTTCGAATTTTAAGGGTCACAGTTAAATAATTGGTCACGGGTCAACTAATGGATCACATACCACCACCCCCTCCAATGTCTCCACCGCCACTTGTGGCCACCCTTACACGGTGGCCGACGACACCACCACCACCGCCACCACCACCAACAATCACTTCCACCGCCACCAGAAACCATCACCACCAAACACACCAACAACGAACAATCGCCATCCAACTGTCAGATCCACCACCATCGTCGCCGCCAAATCCACAATCGCCATATCCACCACCAAATCTAACACCAGATCCAACAAAACCACCCAACCGTCAAATACACCTCCACATCCTTATAGCGGCCCAAACCTTAACTATCCAGCAAACCTCTTCAAACCTTAAACCACGCCACCACTGCTCTCGCCGACACCTCCACACCTATTCCTCACCAACAGCAATCAACAATTGCCACCAACATCGGTTGCTCCAATCAATAATCTCCACCAACAGCAACACTCTTTCCCCATCACAATACCATCACGCCGACACGACATAAAACCTACCTTATTAGTGATGCGCCTATTGCGACGCTCTCCGGTGCTGGGCATACGATGGTGACGGCACAAAGGCTACGAGAGACAAAAGGGAGGTGAGGTAGAGAGAGAGACAATTTGGGAAAAATAACGTGGGGTGGTGGAGGGGATAGGGTTGATTTATAAATTAAATTAATTTAATAATATATTTATCCAATAATAATATATTAATTAATAAAAGTTCTGATTTTTGAATTAACAAACTTTGGATCTGATTTTTGAATATGAATCTTGAAAAATAGAGTTTCCTTTAAAACGCAAAAGTCCAATCCAATTTTTTTATAACCCAACACAAATATCCTTATATCAAATTCTCATTCAACCCTTGAATTGTCATTTCTTTAACACTTCATCAGTCATTCAGCCGTAAAATTGAATTGATATTGCAATTCTCACATACCTCAAATCTTCTCTTATCATCTCTCTACGAAGCCCGAAGGATTGCTTGCGGGTTGGTTTTTTCCTTACTAGTTTAGTAATTTATATTAGGTAATTTCTCAAGTCGAATCTGTCCGACCGTCCCTGATTTTTTCTTGCTGGTTTTGTTCATTGGGTGGTAGAAACAATGTTATTGCTAAGAATTACGAAGAGCTAAGTTATTGTTAAAACAATTTTATCAAAGATTCAAAATCAGATTAAAACTTGAGAAAATTTGGAAATCTCTATCGTCATAGGCCTAAATTTAAAATTTAGAACCTGAGGGACAGAGAAATCTTTGATGTTTTGAAAACTACTCTATCTAAACTAACAAATTAATTGAAAGCGTTATGGAACTCAAGTAATTGACAAACTCTAGGACTTCGAATCCTCTAACATTCATCAATTGTAATATTTATTTCATTATCTGACAACACCTATTTTGATAAGAAGATAAACATTTCTAATTCGTTTAATAATTTTTCTCGAATAGAACGAAATATATTCTCACATGTGAACCTAATACATCTATATGAAGGATACAAATGTAATAATGCATTAAAACTCTCAAGAACATTTTTGAGATCATCAAAGCATAGCGACATATCTGTATTTTCTATAGTTTCTTATAATTATTGTTACTACGATCCAAATTCACAATCCTTCTCTTGAACGACAATAAAAATACAAAATAATTCGATTAGTGATCAATTAATTGAAAATCATTAAACTCATAACAATCATTCAATAACTAAACAAGTATATAATGTCAAAATCCGAAATTCGATCTCAAAATATCAAGGCGTAGGGTTCAACGTTATCCTAGCATCTACATTAGCCAAGTATCATCTTAATTACAATCACACAATTGAATTGATACAACGTCTCCCCATATGAAAATTTAGAAAGAATCTCGAATCTCTTTAATGAATCTTTGATCAATCTCATTTTGTTCTTCTTCTTCTTCTTCAACTTAATAAATAGATGCATAAAAGTATATATGAATGTGTTTTCTAACCAAACTTCTATAAAATTTGTAAGAAATATGAAGTTGTTGATTAATAGCTTCCTCTGGTGATGTGTCCCTTTACAAGATATATGTAATTTTTACCTTAAAAGTCTCTCTTTGAATTGTAGATGGAGATATGTATTTATAGGCCCCAAGATTAGGTCAAAAATTATACCCTAATTGATTTTCAAGTAGATGTTAAGTCGAAAAATATAATAAAATTGGACTGCTCAGATATAAACAAGCAATCATATGATGTAAACCATTGCAATTGCATAGCATAATGTTGAAACTTGTTGGAATAGATTATTTTCTTGTTATGATCGTAAGGTATACTTGTTGTCGCAAGGAAAACACTTTTCTTTCCCGTCCATTTTGGTCTATGGCTTTCTGCTTTTGCTTAGCTCGACTCGCTTCATATGTGCAATATTAGGTCCTTCATCTTTAGATCTTCATAATTTGGTTCTCATTATTCACAGTTGATCGGATGCAAGTTCAAAAAATTTACAAGTTGGAGGACTGCTTTCAAGTTTCTAATTAGTTGGATTTCCAAATAACTACTTTTTAAAAGTTGGTTGACCAAATTAATAATTTATAAAAGCTAGAGGAACTATTTAGAATTTACAAAAGTTGAAGGACTTATTTACTACTCACGAAAAGTTGGGTGGCTAAATTATTATTTCCTAAATGTTGGAGGATTGATTTCAAGTTCCTAATTAGTTGGGTGACCAAAATATTATTTTCTAAAAGTTAGAGGACTGATTTAGGTTTTAATTAGTTGGATGACCAAATTAATATTTTCTATAGATTGAAGGATGAAATTTATTGTCTAACAATTGGAGGAAGAAATGTTATTTTCTAAAAGTTGTACTGATTTCGAGTTTCTAATTAGTTGCATGCCCAACTATTTTCTAAAAGTTGTTGACCTAATTATTAATGTCTAAAAGCTAGAGGATCGATTTAGAGTTTAAAAAAGTTAAAGGACTGATTTCAATATCTACATAGTTAGTTGACCAAAATATTATTTTCTAGATAATGGAGGATTGATTTCGCGCTTAAAATAAGTTGGGTGACCAAATAAATAATTTATCAAAATTTGGAGGACTGATTTGAAGTTCATACTTTGTTGGGTGACCAAAACATAATTTTCTAAAAGTTGTAGTATTGATTTCGAGTTTCACATAATTTGGGTGACCAAATAAATATTTTCTAAAAGTTGGAGGTTTGTTTTCGAGTTTCACTTTAGTTGGATGACCAAATAAATATTTTCTAAAAGTTTGAGGACTGATTTGAAGTTTATACTTAGCTCCTTTTTGGTGGCCTTTAAACTTAAAAAACTATGCTTTTTAATAATATTTTTTGAAAAATGTGTGAATAAAAAAAGGAAAATTTTTGAATTTACATTCAAAATATTTTATTATGTGAATGTGTAGTATAAAACTACTATGAAAAATAAATTAAGGTGAATTAAATGTCACCAAACAGTGGCTTAGTTGGATGATCAAATTATTATTTTCTAAAAGCTGGAGGACTGATATCGAGTTTCACATAAGTTGGTGAACAAAAACGTATTTTCGAAAAGTTAGAGGACTAGTTTCATATTTCTCATTAGTAAGATGACCAAATTTCACTTTTTCAAGGGCTGGGAGTCCAAATTATTATATCTAAAAGTTCGAGTACTGATTTACTATTTTCTAAATGATTGGGTGACCAAATTACCATACTCTAGAAGTTTGTGGATTACTTTCGAGTCCCTCCAATCATTCACAAATGTCA